ATGGCAGCAATGGGGTTGCGATGCCGTCGCCGTGCGTTGTCGACACCGGCGGCAGTGCCCGTGAAATAGAGGTGACTTCAGAGAGACTGCCGTCGCCACATGTGGCATGTAACTTGGGAGAGATTCGATCTTTCGGCAGAGTCCACGTCGTCCTCCGCGATTGGGATAGGCGTGAAAAGACTCTAGGTGTGTGTGAACACAATAGGCATTCCGCAATTTGCCAAGTCTTTCAACGAGCACAATATACTCTGCCCCTTCGCGCCCTGGATCCTTCAACGCAGCTATTAATAGCGCGTCCCCTGCCAATTATGGTGCATCTCAAAGAATGCCCTCTCAAGTACCAACTTTTCAAGACTTGCTAATGAGTTCTCCTCCGGCACCTGCTGTGGTCGACTTTGCTCCCTCTGGGCTGTGTGCTCGAACAAGTTCCGTTGGAATGAAGGGCTCTACGACACAATTTTCAAGACTTGTGTTGCTCTCACTAATGTCAACATTGAAACAAGCCCTTTACGCAGGCAAGACAACGATTACCACCTACTAAGACTCCACAAGATGGCCGGTATTGCTGACGAAATGGCTCGAAAGCGCAAATTGACACAGGCCACGTACAGAGCCAACAGAAGACGACGCCTGCAGTCTGGACGCCATGATTATCCAGGTGTCGAATAAAGGGAATTGAATACAACTTGTGCATTGAACCTATCTTTCAGTTGTGATAGAATACTCTGTACTATATTCGCAAACTCCTTGTATCACTTAGTCATACTCGTTCAAGTCCTCTGACAACAGATTCATCTTGTCTTCCTCGCAGATTTCAGGCTGAATTGGTAGACACTCGGTCTTTCTATGCTGAGTGACAACCTAATTGTTACTGAGTAACTTGCACTGTGATCTACTTTTCAGCACACCCAAGAAAAGAAACAACTTTGCGACGAACGATAACTTTTCAGCACACCCAAGAAAAGAAACAACTTTGCGACGAACGATGACCCCCATCGTGCAACATCCAATCCGTCACCCAAAAGCAACCCGATGCCCCTCAACACCCACAATCCTTAAAATTTTCAAAAAAGAAGCTCTAAAAACAAAATAGGGTAAGCCTACAAAAACCTAAGAAAACCTACGAAAACCTACGAAAACCATATAGATGTAAAAAGCCACCAAATGCCACTCATCCACAGCAACTGAACGATTTCATTAAAATACATCCAACTTTTTTTATCACCCACAACTAAGAATAAAATCATTCTCATTTTTATTCGAACGAGGAATCATGGTGTATACATTTGTCTCAATATGAGACATGTCAGCATGAATCGGCTTCATAAAGTAAGCACTTCCCATCATTCGTTCTTGCCAAAAAATCATGTCTTCATTAAAGCACAGCGTAGCAAGATGATAGCAGCAATAAACAGACAATTCTATCGAGCCGATAAATCGCTATAGCATATCAAGTCCAACATGAAATGTCGCATATTCTGATAATGTGTACTCGCTCCTTCATCGAATTAATTTAAATTTCATGAATTTCTTTTTCAAACTGA